ATCAGTCAGAAACCACAATGATAATGACACCTATACAACCCTGAAGCAATGCTACAAGGGCTTCCTCAAGAAATGCAATGCCTTGACAACTTCAGAGGCAGGTAGCTTCCTCCAGGCACACACAAGCCCGTTAACTTTGGCAAGATATATCAGCTTCCCATAAGTGCCAAGCAGTCTGCTGCCCCATTCCAAATACTACTTCAAATGGCTTCTTCCTTCCAACTACCTCGTGTTCAGAAGCCATTACCAGAGGAGTCAGCTTAATATTTGATGGCAAAAGTTAGTCTGTGATAGACGTGCCTATGCCTTCCCAACTGGAGAGCTCTTCGTTTTCTCCCCTCTGCTCTGACAGGAATCAGGTCACACCGCGTATCCAGCGTAGACTTTACATTCTACATCTTGGTCTGCAAAGGAAAGTTTTGAGGACAAGGCAGCGGGAAGCAAGAAACTAATACAACTTGCAGTAAACCCAATAAAGAATTCAAGAGCGCTTTTACTCGTATCCCATTTTCACAGGATTGCAGACAGCTAAGAACAATTGTTAGTATTTATTAATTATTCCTCTCTAGATAGGGTGCATACTGTAAGAATAAAAGAAACCTGAACATGAACATGTCCACCATACTCTGCTATCTGATCATACTTTCCACTAAATCTCATGCTGTGGCACAGCAGTACTGTCTAAGCTACCAGCAACTGATCTGCATCACAGCCTCCAGAGAAAGAGAGTCTGCAACACAACCCCTTTTTCTTTGCAATACTTGGAATCATCTAACTTCCATTTGGGATCTCTTCTCTATAACCCAAGTTAAAGTCAAATTAAAGTGAGATTAGTAGCTTAAACCTGCTTGATATTTTACTGCACTTGACAAGAAACAGGTCTCTTGCCAACGTAACTGGGAATCCTATACAATACCATCTCCAAGATTAAAATAGGAATCCCTAAGAGTCCTACCTATTTGCAAAAAGGTCTCATTTCAGTTCTTTTCACAAGTGGTTAAGCAGCCTTTTTATTAGGCCCAATAGACTAAAAGCTCAGGCTAGAGCTTGTTAGCAGGCACAAACTGGCCACAAGTCCACACATACAGTAGCATTTCAGAGAGCATCCCATTTTAGCGCACAGCAGTATAGCCATTTCAGTTAGCACCAAAAGAAAACTTGCACAGAACAGGACTGTTCACAACTGAAGGTTTTGCAACTAGAAAAAGAGGAGTGAGCTAGACATGTCCATACATAAACTGCCTGCGTAAGTGTGTTGCATTGAGAAACTTCTACCGATAACTTCGGTAATCTAATGGTTGAACAAACCCAATTATTAGATAAACTCTTAGCTAAGAGTATTTCTCTGCATCCTTAAGGGAGGTTAAGTAGTACCTCTAAAGACTAAGGGGGGGGGGGAGAAAAACAAACACACACACACACACACCACAAACACCCATCACACAGCCTGGACTTTCTACTACCTTTCCTTCAGGGCTTGCTTCCAAGATTTAAAACTTCCAAGGCAACTTATGAAATCAATACTATGCACGTTGAGTCTTGATATCAAATAATCAGCAGCTCTTTCAAATCTGTTTGTAACTCTTCTTCATCTTTCCTCTATATGACAGAAATCACATACAAGCAGCAAAGGACAGCACTCAAATTTGAGTTTCTCCTTTTCTAAAGCACATTTATTGCAAGACACTATTTGGGTGTGGTCTTCAACTGCTGTGCTATCAGCCTATTGTCAGCAAAAAGCATCATCCTACTCTGTATAGCAGGCTACCAGCACCCATAGCCAACTGGGCTAGTAGAAACCTAACCACAACAGGCAACCAGGGTCCTACCACTGTAGTTCCTCGAATCACCTGAGATGGGGTGGGCCACAAAAACAGTTGGTCAGATAAGGAAAAGTGATGAAGAACAGGAAGATGCAAGAACATACAGTTATAAAGAGTGGGACCGTCCTTTCTGGAAGCAGCTGGCTGTTAGGTCAGCTCACTTGTATCACAGCATACCCTTTGTGAAAGGGTTGGTAGGAAAGCTTAAGCATTCCCAAAGTCCAAGTGTCAGCCTAGAACAGAAGGGAAATCTCAGAGCAACAGTTGCAGGGCTTTCAAATACATCTATTTGAACTACAAAGGTCTCTTTACATCTTGATTCAATGTTTCAAATACAAGAGTGCCAAGAACTAAAACGAACTCCACTTGATGACAGGATATGCTGCATACGTGCAAAGAAATTAGCAAGACTATGAAGTTGATCTTAGCTAACCACATCATGCTTTAGCTAGACACTGCAAATACAATGAAGAATTTCCTGACTCTTTTCAGAATAAAGATGTAGGTGTTTCCTACAAATATTCATAGGAAAGCCTTCCACCCCAAAGTCAAATTGCAAGTTCTTACATAAAACTGCTATCAATCAAATATTTACTAAGCAATAACAGTTGCCTTGTAAAATTCTGTGAAGTTCAAGCATTTTATGGTCAGTATCTTATACACACATTCATACCGGAAGAGAAGACAGACAACTATCAGGAAGCAGCAGATCTAGTTTTGTCACCATTTTTTGTTTATGAACACTTAGAGCACTAAAGAACTACTTGTATTAGGAAGTGTATTCAGTTATACTTTACCTAGATTTTTGACTGAAGCTTCACATGTACAAAGCCAAACTTTTAGTAACCAAGAACCTATATATGGCTTAGAGTAAGGTGAGATACCAGGGACTCTTGCCATACATCCACTTCCAAGTACTTAAACTCTTAGTTTACCTACTTAAAACTGTACTTAAACTGATAGGTTAAGAAACAGCACTTCTATCAGGAACTTGGCTAGAGGAGACTTTCACATGAAGCTACATTTACATGATCTATTACTACGCACACAAGTCAGGAAATCAAATGCCTATTAAA